ATGATGGTTTTTCAAGGGCTCCATTCAAAGGCATCGAATTCTAGGGACCATGCTTAGCCTTAGGAAGGGTAAAGGCTATAAGAACACCCTTTATAAGGGTTTACGGTCTATGAAGATTCATAGGACCGTAAACTCTTTTGTTAATGCAAAGAGTGATGATCTTAAGTCCAAAATGAAGGATTGTAACTAGATAGATGTAAAGGAGGATGGTACTTACGATTTGGAGGCAAATTGAGGTGTTTTCGGTCCAAAACATAACCGTGTTCTTGAGGACTCTTGAAGATAGCTTGAACTCGATGAAGGTAGAGAGAGAGTAGAGAGAGAAAGTCTTTGTAGTGTTTAAAGTGTGAAATGAAGGCCAAATACTATATATATATATATATATATATATATATATATATATATATATATATAGGGTAGAGTTCTCGGTCAAAAAGGGGACCACCTGACCGTAAACGTGTTTACGGTCTACACGAGTTTACGGTCGTAAACTCGTCCTGACCGTGAACTCGGTGATTTTCGAGGAAGTTCAAGTTTTTCGCGTGATTCCCGGTTTATTTCGAATCGTATAAAATACATATTATTTATTTAAAACGTAAGGTCCTTCCCAAATTAAGAAATTTGACGGAATTGAATAAAAACCCAAATTTTATTAATGGAAACTGGGTAAGGATAACAGGAAAAGTTTCGGGTTGTCACAGATAAACTCTAGCTGCTGGTTGACAGGTTCCCGAACTGTCAATCATCAAAACGACACCCAATTAATAATTGGGTTCCAAAACATAACCATAAATCTACACTTGGGGTAAATGGGCCATCTTACCCCGAACCTAGCTTGGTTCAAAACCAAAGCCCAAACTCACACTCTGAAGGCCCAAAAGCCCAATAATCAACCAAGGCCTGACATGGAAAATTGGGCCCAAACCTCTACATGAGCTTATTTTAAGGCCCACCCAGTTGTTCTAGCCCAAACAATTGGCATTCTGATGGCCCAATAGCTAATAATCCTTAAGGCCCAATTATGACCCACTTATGGTCCTATTTTCCAAATTGGGCACAAGCTTCTCTAATGGGTCTTATCCTAACTTTCCTCTTAGAAGCTTAGATCTAGGATTATGGAGCTTTGGACCTTTTTAGGTCCAAAGGATGGAACTTTATCATGCAACTTCGTTTTTGAGCTTAGAGTTGCCACCCTTGGAGCTCAAAGCATCCCTTTAGCAGTAAAGTTTCAACCTTTAAGGCATTTATGTAACCATGCATGAAATCTAGCCATTTCTATGGAGTTAGTTGCTATTATTCAATGTTTGGGCTCATTTGGTGGGTTGCAAGCCACCAAGTGATCGACTTAATGGATCAAGACACTGAAGAGGACTAGGATCTGTGATTATAGCCTTTGGATTAGAGTATTAAGCACTTAATGGGAAAAGTGACTTAACAGGGAAGTACGTTGGGCGTACATGAAGGTACGTGCAACGTACACACCATTTAGCCAGGACACTTAGCCTACAGAGGAGTACGCCCCGCGTACTTAACAGATATGGGGCTTGGCGTGTTTTGGGCCTCGGTTTGGCCCATTCTTTGGACTTTGGGCCTTAGTGGGCCATCAGAAGTCAGATAATTTGGGCCAAGAATATGTTTGGGCTTAGGGTAAGGCTCATTAGAGGGAATGGGCCCAATTTAGCAAATTGGGCCATTAGTGGGCTTGGGAAGCGTACCTAGTGTGGAGCCTTTTGTATTATGGTCTTGGACCTTAGATATAGACCAAGTAGGACCAAGGGGTAAAATGGTCATTTTACCCTAAGAGGATTATTAGATTTTGACAAAGTATTATTGTATAGAGTTAGTCGGGGAGTCGTGGGAGCAACCAACAAAGATTCCTCACGCACGAGTTCAACATTCAGTTTGAGAGGTGAGTCTTATCCTATAGGAACGAGTCTAAGGCACCAAGGTTGGCCCGTTTATGTGTGATTGTATGTGTCGGGGTTAGCCCGATGTAGATTTTATGTTCCGGACTTCGGTCTGATGCCGGGGCAAGCCCGAGGAAGTTAGTATGCTTGATGTCTTTGTGATTCTTGCATGTGTCTGATTAGGTGTTCCGGACTTTGGTCCGATGCCGGCGCAAGCCCGAGGAATGTTAGCTTTCATGTTATGTTTATGTTTATGTTTATGTTATGCTTGTTGATATGATATGTATACCGGACTTCGGTCTGATGCCGGGCGGGGCCCGATGCAGGGGAAGGCTCAAGTTATGCCGGACCTTGGTCCGATGCCGGGCGGGGCCCGATGTCGGATTCGTCCGATGTCGGGCAGGGCCCGATGCAGTGGGCTAGGCTCAATATGTGATTATGTGTATGGTATGTGGTAGCTTGGGGGGACTCACTAAGCTTCGTGCTTACAGTTTTCAGTTTGGTTTCAGGTACTTCAACTAGCAAAGGGAAGGGCTCGGGATGATCGCATGGCACACACCACAACTTTCTAGCCTGGGAGATCGACTATGATATTTTTACATGATTTTGATACAGTATTCGATATGATGTTTTACACGATTTATGGATTTTTCTATATGATGATGGTTGAATTATGGTCTTATTAATGAATTTAAAAAGAAATTTTTGGACCGTATTTTTGGGATGTTTCAATTATTCATTCTCATACCTTCCCAGATCGAGCACTTGCAACAAATGATAAACATATCATCTGAGATGCTAAAACGTCAACCTAAAATGATAAATTCATAGACATTAAAAATAGGAACACAAATTAAATAAATAACTAAGAGATAATTTGTGATCCAAACTATCTGTAGATCTTAAACCTACTCCGTTCAATCATCAGGTGCTCGGACTTGATGATTTACATCCTTAACACCCTTCATCAAAAAGTATCCGTCAACACATCATAATCTTCCTCAGCATTTAACAGCACCCCATTAGTTTTGAATATCAGAAAAAGATTTAAAAATACCAAACAAAAAAAATGAAGACCAAACCAAACAGAAATATATATATATATATATATATATATATATATATATATATATATATATATATATATATATATAGAGAGAGAGAGAGAGAGAGAGAGAGAAAGAGAGAGAGAGAGAGAGAGAGAAGAGGACCAGGGAAACCAAGTTAAAAGCTCTATGTGACCTGCACAAGATAATGAAAACCGAGTTCAGAGCAAAAAAACCAAATTGTGGATCTGTTATTTATAACATAATGAAAGAGAGATAGAGGCCGATAATAGCAAAGATGTTTGTGGTGGTGAAGACGATGGTCAGTGGTGGTACCTATGTTTTCATAGAGGGTTGAACGGTGGTGGTTCTGTGGTTGTTTGGATAAAAGAATATTAGACGGTTCTATGTTGTTTTAGAAAGAGAAAATATGACTGGAGACGACAGTCGGTGGTGGTGTCTAGGGTTTATATGTAGTGCTCAGGGGGTAGTGTTTATGTGCAGTTTTAGATAGGGGCGGTAGTCGGAGAGTGCAAGGATAGTTCAAGGTGGAGATGGTGCAAGGGCCTCGATTGGGTAGTGGTGTGTTGGTGATGAAGCGGAGGAGGGTGGTGACGGCTACATATCACATAGGATGTCTAGGGTTTTAACTTTTAGTAAGAAGATGAGAGAAAAAAATGAGTTGGGAGAGATGGGGAGCGTATTTAATCTTTCCTTGAGTTGGAGAATAGAGACCGTACATGGATTGATGCCTTGATGGTAAGCATAATAGAGTTGTATATTATGTATTAGTAGTTGTACCTCTTAAATTTCAAGAAATGATAAATATGTTTTATAGAATAGTAAAGATATACATATATTTTATACCCGTCTAAGATGCACTCGAGTAGTATCGTTTAGAAGTTCAAACAAGTGCATATAAATTTCAATTAATTCGAATGCAATATTTACCAATACAACTTGCCATACACAAGAAGCATTATTCAATATTCTATTGACAAGCATCATGATGTATTTTAGAATTTAAAAAGAATACACTTATAAATATTAAGTTTGCACAAAATAAACATGACTATTTAAAACTTGACATTTTTGCAGATGCATTCGCAGAAATATCAGATAAGATCTGCAAAAATGAGATTTTTCTGGGATGAATCCGACAATTTTGCAGATGTTGTCTGTGAAAATGTCAGATTCATATGAGAAAACCAATTTTTGTAGAACTTTTTTGATATTTTCGCGGATAACATCTACGAAAATATTAGGTTTCAGGTAGATCGGGGATATTTTGTTTGGGCGGTTTTAGCAAAAAAAAAAATATAAACTCTATTGGCAATTTTATGTTGTGCTTTTTAGAATATTATACGAAAACCAAAAGAGAAAAAAGATTTTGACAAAATTGCAAAAATGGACAATGTGGCTGTCAAAATTTTGTGGTTTTAGTCCAAAAAAGTTTGTTGGTGCATCATTGGTCCAATTTTGGATAATTTGTTTGGTTTTGGTCCCTATGATTAACATTTATGTGCGGTTTTGGTCCATACCCACCTTGAAAAGACGAATTTGCCCTTATATAATTATTTTTTTAGTTTTTTATTTAATTTCTTATTATTTTTATTTAAAAAGAAAAAGAAAAAGACTCACTTTACTCTCTCTCTCTCTCTAAAAACACCATCACACTACCACCGCTGGAGCACCACATGTCGGACCTCTTGCCGAATGACCAACCGTCGAACCTCCAACTATCCGACCAACACCTGTTGAATAACAACCTGTCGATCCACCACCAACCAGACCACCCATTCCTATTTAATCACACCCCACGACACCTTAAAATGAGATCCACAACTCCGTTACCCTAGTTTCGATGATGAGAAGAGGCCTAGTGGTTTCATATCGGGGAATAAGGAGGTCGAAGATGGAGGCGATCCGATGGCTGATTGTAGATCTGGTTGTTCCGCTGGATGTAGAAATGACAGCAAAGCCTTCCCCATTTGTTGATAGATGTCGTCTAGGGTTATGACGACGACGCACAAAGGTTAAACTTGCAATGGCAAAGCAGTTTGACGATGTTAGTCGAACAAATCAGAATCATGCTAGGGTTCTAATGGACTTCGAGTATCTAAATGAGGGTTGTACTCCGGTGAATGATCAATCTTCCAGTAAAGAAAGGTGGTTGATTTGAGAGATTTCTGGTGAGTTTTGATAGAACGTAGAGAAGCTGAAGAAGATAAAAAGCTATGTTGGGGAAAAATAAATGTAAAGAGATAGGGATACAATGTATACGAGAAAAGAGAGAGAAAGAGAATAAGCTCGAGGGAACTCCGACACGAAGGGTGTCTGGCGGCGGTGGTTCCATTCACCGGTGGTGGAGGTGGAGCTGGTGATGAAGGGGCTTATATGGGAGGGGTTTGGGTTATTTTATTTTATTTATTTCTTTGTTTTAAATTAAAAAAAATTCAAATTAATTTATGCATTTCAACAATTAAAAAAATAGAAAATATAAATTATAAGGGCATATTTGTCTTTTTAAGTGTATAGGGACCAAAATCACTAAAAAGATCCGAAATTTGACCAGTTATGCACCATCAAATTTTTTTGGATCAAATCCATATAATTTTGACAACCACATGGACTATTTTTACAATTTTGTCAAAGATTTTCAACATAGTAGGAGATTTGCCCATCTTCTCATTTTTGTAGGTAGAACTCTAAATTATATAATTTTATTAAAAATTAAAGATTTTCATATTTGGAGCTTAAAGAGATTTTCCCAAGTCTCACATAACTATTTTGATCCATCTTATAACTTATAACTAAATTTTAAAAAATAATAAACAAGATTAATCTGCTTAAAAGAAAAATAAAATCTCTAGGATTAAATAAGTTCTTAGATTTAAAAGAAAAATAATAATTTTCTTGATTAAAAAAAAAAATATCTCTGGCGTAAAAGTGGGCCGAAGTGGGAAAATGAGAAAAGTCGCCTTTACAGTCCGACGCCCGTTTATCTCACGCCAACTTTGTGGGGCCCGCAATTAAAAGAAAATTCTGGAAGCTGATCGCCCTATAAATTTGATACGCTGTAAATTTAAGCCAAACCCTAGTTCCATTTCCCATTTCTCTTCGATCTATTGCTGTCTCTGCTCCTCAATTTGTTACACCACCAATTACAACAGTTTTGCTTCCATATATCTTCGATCAGGTACTTCCTCTTCACGTATAAAGACATATAGCTGAATTTAATTATATGTATATGTAGTATACGTGACAATCAAAATTTGATTGTTTGTATGCACAGGGTTATGGTAGTATAGATCTCTAATTGTTGGCTTGGGTATTTTGATTGTCGTTGTGTCAATTGTCTCGTGGACTGATTTCTTATTCTTATTTGAATTAGGGCGTGATTAGACGGTGCTGATTTTTGGCTGTGCACTTGCGATCTGCTTTTACATTTGGGTGAGAGTAAAGCTCTGAGATCGTAAGTAGCTCTGGTGATGGCGTCGAAACGTATCTTGAAGGAACTCAAGGATTTGCAGAAGGACCCTCCTACGTCATGCAGTGCCGGTAAAACTACTTGTTTTCATTCTGAAGTCTAATTCTCGTAAGGAATCATGTTTTTCCATGATTGATTTGTGCTAGAACACTAGTTTATGTGGTTTGATTGCAAGTAAATGATGTTTTAATCGAGTGAAAAGCATGTTTATCAACAAAGTTTTGGTTAGGGGGTGTGGGTAATTCAGGGAAACCAAGTTTGTGTGGTATCTAATGACCCACTGCAAGTTTACATAGTTATACATAGAGCTTAAGGAACCCAATATTCTGTAAGCGTTATTGTTATCCTGCAGTGGATGTTGTGCGTCCTCTTGTTAAGCTGTGTTAATGGTGGCTGAATGATAAAAATGTCTGATTTAGGATTCTTTATACAAAATTGATTGCTCAATGGAATTCTACGAGTGAATACTATTTAGGTGCTTTTATCTTCTCTTGACTAATGACATCGAGGTATTTCAAGCTTGATATGTTAAGTAAATAACTTGTGATCACATATGTAGTCCTATTTGCTAAAGTTGACAATATCTGAATGATAAGTCTTTCTGAATTAGATTCTTTGTATTGAGAACTGATATTAGACCTTAGTATATGCATAAGCTGATGTAGTTTTGTTTATTATTATTATTATTATTATTATAGGTCCAGTTGCAGAAGACATGTTTCATTGGCAAGCAACAATCATGGGACCTAATGATAGTCCATACTCTGGTGGTGTGTTCTTAGTTTCAATTCATTTCCCACCTGACTACCCCTTCAAGCCTCCTAAGGTAGATTTGCTGCTTCTGTTTTATACCATTTTTTTTCAAACATAAGATTTCTGGTATTTTTTTAGGTCCTTGTATTTGAAAGATTAAAGTTTGTAGATTTTGATTTCCAGGTTGCATTTAGGACAAAGGTGTTCCATCCAAACATCAACAGCAATGGTAGCATATGCTTAGATATCCTCAAGGAACAATGGAGTCCTGCACTAACAATCTCCAAGGTCTGGTTTTGATCTTCTAAATATTTGTCTTTTTAAATTATTTTTAAATTTTTCTAATCAATCTGATTTCATACCACCGACATACAGGTGTTGCTCTCCATTTGCTCATTGTTAACGGACCCAAATCCTGATGATCCATTGGTGCCAGAGATAGCTCATATGTACAAGACTGATAAGACCAAATATGAAGCCACTGCTCGGAGCTGGACACAGAAGTATGCAATGGGATGAGAATATGATGCTATGATTGATTCATATTTTTGAATCTGGATGAGATATGGGATATGATGGATGGTTGAAAGAATAAAAATTGTTAAGCTTTTTCATCACTTTTTATTCTTCAAGTTGAAATTGAAATGTTAATGAAATGGTTGTTAAGATTTGTCTTCTCATCTTGGTTTCTGTAATATTGGATTTTGATTTACAGACTAAAAGACGTTTAGAAAAAGTGTTATTGTTATGTTTTCCAATCATAAGCAGTTCCTTCCTGAAAACCATCCTCACTCTTGCATGTTCTATTTTGTTTTCTTCCATTCCGTAGGCTAAAGCCATCTCCAATGTATTGAATTCTTAATAGTTCAATGTAATGTCATACCAAAATTTTACTTTATTTAGTATATTATTTGTAACTTTTAATTTCTAAATTGTAATTAGTAATTGGTCAGATCACGTTGATCTTCTCTGAACTTCATGAGAAGAAGTTAAATATCAAATTCAAAGAAACTGTGAACTTCATGATAATGCGGTATGTTTTTTGACATGATAATGTAACACATTGGAGAATAATTTATTAATATGTAATTTTATTATGTTGTGTTATAATAAAAAAAGATGTTATCTTTTTAAAATATTTTAAAGATTTAAATACTTTTTTATTGTTTAGAACAAAAAAAAAATATGAAGAAAATTAATAAATTAAAATATTGAATATAAAATAAAATAAAGTATATAATAAAAAACTAATAATATATAGTTTGTTTGTTGAAAAAAAAAACTAAATGTTATTTTCAATATAAATTGTTATAATAAGTTGAGAAAGAAAAAAAAATTCAACATATATTGTTATATTAAATTGAGAAAAAAAAAAAAAAAAAAACCAAATGCATTACACGATTCAATTGGGATTGAACCCCCCATTCGATACACTCTACCTATATTGTATTTTTAATTCATTGAATGTCATATCACAACTTTTTTACCCATTAAACTTTTCATACAACCCTAATTGGGGAGAGCCTAAGGCTATCCGAAGTGGGCACGCGTAAGTTTCCTAAGTGACACTAACTCACCGATGAATATCGTCTTGTGGACAGATGGTTTGGCTGTAGACTGACTTCTAGTAGTTGTGAAGACGAAACAAGACGAGCATTTTAATTGGTTCTTCCTTTTCCCTTCATATGTTCTCTCATTATCTCTCCTCCTTTTTGTCCCTTTACTACCAACCCACCGGTGAACACCATTTCCATAATCTAGTGGGTTGGTTGTGGAATGGTAAAATACATACGTGGTACTGAGTTGACTGGTGGTTTGACTGTGACCACTCCCCACAGTCTAAGGGTTGAATGGTCAATCCACTAAAAAAATGTTGCAACCTACACACCACATCAGCTCCACCACATGTCTACCACCAAATCACTAGCCATTGGAAATGATTACCACACATTTCTATATTTTTTAGTTTTAATTTTTTTAAACATTAGAATACATTAAAAAATAATTTTTAAACAAAAATAAAACATAATTATTAATTAAAAAAACATTACATTAACTAAAAACACACACAATTAAATCATAATTTACTTAAAAACATTAAAAATTAAAACCTAAATTACTAAAAACACATAGAAAATTAAAACCTAAATTACTAAAAAACATAGAAAACATAGAATATACTACTCGTCGTCGTTGCCGTCTTCGTCGTCGTCGGCCTCGTTTTCATCATCAGCGTTCGCATTCTCCTCTTCATCGTCATTGTCTTGTTGGGATTGCCTTTGTCATATGTGCTCAGTCAAATCATGACGTAGATTGTGATGTGTTTCACTGCTTTTTATTTCCAATAGTCTTGTGAAGTATGTCGGGCTGCCGACTTGTATTACTACAGGTGGATTAAGTATGTCTTCCGGACTATACATACAAAGTGTCTACCCTCTTCTTCTATTATCATGTTATGTAAAATAACACAAGCTGTCAACACCTTCGTCAATTTTGCCCTATCCCATGCTCGTGTCGGATGTTTGATTCTGTGCCACTTTTGTTTGAGGACTCCAGACGACCGTTCCACATCCTTCCTTGCCGATTCTTGTGCTAACTTAAATAATTTTCGTTTTTCATCTGCCGGATAGGAGTGTGATTTGACAAACGTAGCATACTCTGGATATATCACATCACCAAGGTAATACTCATAACTATATTGATGTCCATTCACAACATATGACATGTTTGGTGCTATACCATGCAAAATGTCGTTAACTAGCGGAGACGCTCCAAGTACATTCAGGTCGTTGTTTGACCCTGCCATACCAAAGAATGCATGCCAAAACCATAGGTTATGTGAAACAGTTGCCTCTAGTATAACAGTCAGCACGTCATGATCATCTCGTGTGAATTGACCTCGCCATGAATTGGGACAATTTTCCAAGTGCCAATGTGTACAATCAAGGCTACCAAGCATTCATGGCAAACCATGTTTAACTTCATGTGCGGCATACAACTATTCGACGTCACTCCTAGTCGAATGTCGCAAGTATATGTCACCGTAAAGCTCTATAACATACTCACAGAAAAGATAGGCACATTCTTGACCTATCCTCCCAGACATTTTCAAATATTCATCTCATCCGTTTGCGACTATGCCATATGTCAATTGTCTACGAGCTGCAATGCATTTTTGTATTGTACTAAAACCACGTTTACTCTAGCATCTCATCTCAATTGAAAAAACTCATAATTGTTCGCCAAATCTCTAGCTATACGTAAAAATAAATTTCTACTAATATGAAAACGATCTTCAAATTTCGATAGGTCGTATAAACTATCCGGGGCAAAGCAATCAGGTACCAAAAGTTCATGTGCCGCGATACGATCCCGATTGATCGAAATTCTACGTTTTTTCTCGCCATTTGAACTTTTGCCTCTTTGATGCACCATGTCTTGTGCCGTGGACAACAACGTGTGCAAAACCAACTCATCATCAGAATCATCATCGTCAGATGAAGAAGAATAAATTAAACCCATAAAATTATTCATATTGTGTTTAAAAGAGTGTTTGCTGCTGGATGTATAGAACAAATATATATATATATATATATATATATATATATATATATATATATATATATATATATATATATATAGGTTAAGTTTTAAAATTGAATAAAATTATTATTTTTAATTGTTCTAACGGTCAAAAGCGAAAAGCGGTAAAAAAAAACCCTCGCCCAATCAATTCATCCGTCTTCGCTGCTACTTCACAAGGCACCTACGCGCACTGGGGCGGTGTTCACGCGTAGATTGGCCTGCCACATTAGCTCCCACGCGTAGTTTTCCCTTCCATACCGGAAGGCTTTAGTTGCAGTAATCATATAGATAAAATGAAATCTGTTTAACGATAAGTCTATATGCTTAAATCTTTTTGCATCTTATATATGGATTTTTATATAATTAATTAATTTTTTTAATAAACTATTGACCTATCTTGTTTTTTAAGCTGTTTTAGCCTTCGAAGAACCTGTAAGAAACTTTGATTCCCTACAAAATGAGCACAATAATGAAAATATGAAAAAACAAATATTTTTATTATAAAAAAATCCAGAAAAAAAAGAAATTCTCCAAAAATTATAAAAATTTAAGGGATACTTTTCTACTCAATATACTAGTGACTTTGTAAAAAGATTTTTTTCGAAAATAAGTTTTTTGAAGTATTTATTTTTAATTTTAAGAAATATTAATTTTTAAAAAAAATATTGAACATAATATGATCCAAAATGTGACGATTCAAAATATTTATGATTAAAAAAAAACTTTTGATTCAACTTGTTTATGATCCTTAACTTGTTATGATCTAAAAATATTTAGACTCAAATATGTTATAATTCTTAATTATACATTTTATGATTCAAAATATGTAATGATCCATAATTTTTTTGAACAAAAACTATATTTAATTGAATATATTATTGATCCAAAATCATATGATTCAAAAATGATTTGATTCAAAATACTACGATTCATAATAATTTGATTCAAAATTTTATGATCTAAAAATAATATGATTTAAAAAAAATATGAACGGAAAATATTATGATCTGTAATATTATTCTTAAATAAAATTTTATAAATGTTAAACATTAAAAACTCAAACCGATATTTAGTTTAAAAAGTCAAAAAAAGCAAAAAATAAAAAAAACAAAATAATCAAAAAATAAAAACAAAAATAAAGAAAAACACTAGTACCTTCAAGTATGTAGTAAAGATGTTAAAAAAAACGAAAAAATCAAAAAAAAAAAAAACAAAATAATTAAATAAAATGAAAAAAAATTTAAAAACGTTAAAACCGAGCATATATCTATTTAATTCTTTTTTGATTTTTTTTAACGGAAAATAATAAAAAAATAAATAATAAAAAATAAAAAATAAGCGAAAATAAATAATAAAACCACTTAAATAACGTTCCATGGACGTTCGCCGAACGTGATTAAATCCTCGATTCAATATTAGTTACCACGGACGTGGGTCGCATGAGAACGCACCACGACTAAGTTGCTGTTTGTTTTTTTAAAAAAACATTTTCAAACCACTTTGTGCTGCGCGGCGCAACACACGCGCAACACTTTCCCTCCCGCAACAGTTTGTTTTTTGGAAGACTTCAGACTGCAAAACCTCTGCGCGTGTGCTGCGTGGCGCAGCACTTGACTTGCCTCTTCAAACTTCTTCAACTTTTATTTTTTGAAGTGTTTTTTTAGAATTCTGGTATAACTTATTATTTTTTTTTTAAAAAAAGCTTTTATTTACGGATTTGATACAATTTCTTATTATAGTTTCCACAAATTTTTTAAACTTGATTTAAAAAAAAAAACTTTGAGTTTTTTTTTAATTTTTTTACCTTTTCCGTTAATAATATTTTCAGTTTCGGTTTCATCTTTTTTAACGTGTATAATTTTTTACGAACTTTGTAGACATCGTTTGCAATACTTTCTTAATTTTTTTATTATTTTCTTTTTTATGTTTTTTAAAATTAGTTTTTTTCTAGAATAAAGTTGTTAGCTTCTTTTATATTTTTGTAAGTTTTTTTTAAAAAGTTTTATACTTTTTGTTTTTTATATGTTCTTTTTGTACTCTTTCAATGTTTTAATACTAGAATTATTAAAATTTCGGTATTGAAAACTATTTTCAGTTTATAAAATTAGTTTATTTAAATTTCAGTTTACTGCAGCAGTCTGCAGATATTAAAAAACAAACATGCTTCTTATTATGGACTGCAGCTGTTTGTTCCACCTCTTCTGCTACAGAGGACTGCAGAGGTGGTCCGCAGAGTTCATGAATTTTCGTTTCGAAAAAACAAACAGCACCTAAGTATTTGGTTTAGCGTTTGTGCCA